ATAGAATTCTTTATTGGCCAAGGGTGACTGGACACACAAGGAATTTGTCTTAGTGCAAATGCTCTCAGTGTACATAAAAGAAAAGATACATTCGTCAAGAATCATCAGGTACAACACTTAACGATAGTCATAGGGTACAATAAGCAATCAAATCATACTAGGAAACAGTCAATATAAAGCGACAAAGTTATAGTCACAGTCGCAAGTGGGAGGGGATGGATGATAAGGAGTGATGAGGTGGCCCTAGAGCAGAGTTGACATTGAATAGGACAAGCCTTGCTGAGATGTGACACCTCCATGATAGGCCCACAGATACATTGGAGAAGGAAGAAGAGACGTCCACCTCTCAACCAAGCCATTATAACTTTCTTTTTGCAGAAGAAACAGATGGCCAGCCTTGACCGAGTCACTCTCTACGGCTTGATGGTGAAGCCCATACAAAGGTTCCCCCAGTTTATCCTCCTACTCCAGGTACCATTTTTGTTCCCTTGGGTTCCTGAAATAGGGAAGAACTTCTAGAACCATGTTTCTCAACCATATGAAGATGGGTGGACTTCAGCTCCCAGAATTCCCCCAGCCCGCTTGAGTTGAAGTCTACCCATCTTCTAGTTTGCAAGGTTGAGAAACATGGATCTAGGTCAGAGGTCTTCAAACTTGACAGATTTAAGACTTGTGGATTTCAGAATTCCTCCTCCAGTCATGTTAGGAATTCTGGGAGTTGAAGTCCACAAGTCTTAAACTTGCCAAGTTTGAAGACTCTCGATCTAGGTTACGCCAAGCAGAGGGAAAGGGTTGGGTTGGCATGTTGAGGAAACTTCTAGAGTGGAACTCAGCATGGATCTCAGACGGCCCTCAATTGACTGGTCTGTTTCTTCCCTCTTCCCAGGATATGCTGAAGAACACCCCAAAAGGACACGCTGACCGCTTGTCCCTCCAGCTCGCCCTAACAGAACTGGAGACCTTGGCTGAGAAGCTCAATGAGCAGAAGAGGTTGGCTGACCAGGTGGCTGAGATCCAGCAGCTGACCAAGAGCGTCAGTGACCGCAGCCATCTCCATAAGGTGGGTGATTCTCACAGGACGCCCGGCCCAGTGGTCAGTTCCAATTTCCTTCTGGATGTCTTCAGATGACAACTTCCACGCATTCAAGTATGGTTGTCATCTGGACCCATCTGGTGGACTTACAGGTTCAGAAAACTTGCTTTGCTTTTGGTTGCCTCTTTGGTTCCTGTCATGCCCCGGTTGGAGACTGAATCTGAGGGAGAGGAGAAACAGCCGACAGGGAGTGGCAGTGTGGCTCCGGAGGTTGTGGAGGAGGCTGGGGAAGAGCACAGGCCAGCTGGGCAGTCAGAGGAGGACCCAAGTCCATCCCCTCTTCATCCTAGGGCATGCAAGGAGGAGAGGATAAGGCAGAAATGTGAATTTCGTGGACTACAGGGGAGGAAAGGGCCTTGATCCCCTTCATGGGCTGCAGCTGTGAGAACTGGTGAAAAGGACGGACTGCGCATGAGCCAGTGCTGGAAACAAAGCGTGAAAATATTTCTAGTCTGTCCGTTCTTACTGAGTTTGGTGTCCTTCCCGGTGTGTGTTCCAATATCTGTGGACGTCTTCAAGCCCTTATCTTGCCTGGTTCCCTTAACTGCTTCAGTGTGGTTTGTGTTGTTTTTTCTAGTTATAATTTATAGGTATTTTTAGTTTAAACGGTATCTCCTCCTTTTTGCAACTGTTTGTGGGTCATTTCGATGGGTCATCTCTCTCTCACCTCTCTCCTCTCTCTC